TTTTTTTTTTTTTTTTTTTTTTTTTTGTGTGTGTGTGTGTGTGTGTGAGAGAGAGAGAGAGAGAGCAGGTAAGTCTCCAACCTCGCGGCTGTCCACACGCGACGTCCACCGATATATTGAGCAAAATCGAATCGATGGCCTCACGCGGCATCCATCGATAGGATGAGCAAAATCGAATGGATCTTTCGCGAGAACATGGAAATATACACTGCCTGCTTTCTGCAATTGTTGGCCTCACATGACTTCCATCGATAGGATGAGCAAAGTCGAATGGGTCAGTCGCTAGAACATGGAATTATGCACTGCCCGCTTTCTGCAATCGACAACAAAATGCGAAAAACCGCCCGCCGGATGAAGTTCCATAAAAACGGCCTGGCCCCTCCTCGACTCGAACCCGCACCTGTCATCGCATTTTTTGGCAGTGCTTCCCCACAAAATGCAACAGGAGACAGCCTCGACCTCGAGGCCGCCGGGCAAAAAACTCCCTGGGGCCAATTTCATGGGACACCTCCTGTGCCGTCCAAACGACGTGCGGGCCTTACTTTTGCTGGGCCCAAAGGGACCATCTTACGGGGGCTGCTTTTTCCTTTAGGTATTAGTAGACAACGAAAGAACGAACCGGAACCAATGTCCGAATCATCTCCTCACTGCAAGGCACTCCAGAGGTCCACCATAGCCATCTCACACACCTTATTCCTCCTTGCGGAAGTACTTTTGGACGGGGGTGTGAAGGGAAAAGGGCGGGGACAAGGGGCGGGGACAAGGGGCGGGCCCAATGAATCTCCAGCCGCATGTTCGAGGCAAGTACATAGTGGGGAAAGGTTTCACTTTTTTCAGCTAGCAGACGTGCCGTTTTATTTTTTTTAGGTGTCTTTTTGTAGTGCACACAACTGGCAGACGTGACCATAGGGGGCATCACTCCACTACTCACGAGATGTGCATTGTGCTTGATGAGAATGAATCATCTGCTAGAACATGGGAGATACACCACCATGTTATGATCCTGACCAATTTCGAAGTGCAAAATCACGAGAAAGTACAATGCCATCCTATTGCAAAAACAAATGGATGAACTTGAGAGGAGAGAGAGGGAAAGAAGAAGAAAAAAAGAAGAAGAAGAAGATGTGCACCAGCAAAAGACCAATGGTAATTCAGAGCTAATTCCCCTTCCTCTCGTGAACCAAACTCCTCCTTTTCTCCTCTCCTCCTATTCAAATAGTGAATAATAATAATAATGATGAATGGCCAAACCAGAATCAATGTCGGAATCCCTCTTCTACTTCCAGCACAACTTGAGGTCCACCATAGCCATGGCTGCCCTTCTCCTTCCTCTTCACTTAGGCCGAGGCTATGGCGGACAACGAAGGGCCTTGCCCCGATGTGCAAAAGACAATGCAAAGCAACTATGACTACTTCCACTCAGGCCGCCATGCCTGGCTCTGCCTAGAAGCTTCTTGGTGCAGCTCTACCCCAGTGGGGGCCTTGCAGATGCAGCGCCGACCAAGGTGATGAAGATGGCGTCCACCATAGCCAGGTAAGTACCCTTGGCGCTCCCCTCTCCTAGTCCCTTCTTCCTCCTCCTGCTGCCCGAGCTCCTCCACCATAACCAAGGTGGAGAGCCAGGCGCTCCTTCTCCAGCAGTGCTGCTCCAGACCAGCACTGCTCTAGACGAGCGCTGCTCCACCACCCGCTCCGGCAGCATGTTGCCCAAACTTGCACGCAGCAAATGAGGAAGAGCTCATTGGTCTTCTTGGTGATATAGCGAGGCAGCAGCCTCCTTGGGCGGTGACTTCCAGGCCGCGCGGCCTCCAAATAACCGGTACCTCCCTTCCGGAGGGCAACATAATTGCAGGCTCTGATATGGTCCGCACAGGCCCTAGACTCAGACTACTTGGACTGGTACGCATCTAGACCTCACCTACCGCTACTAAAAAATGCTAATTTTGTCTTCTTCTGCTCGGCCTCCAGTCCCCGACACATATACCGGTACTTGGGTGGTCGTGTTTTTCCCCGTTGCTCTTTGCGTCGCGGGCCTACTCCCACCACTTGAGTGTTTTCCCCGCTGCATCCCTCAAAGTCACAGCCATAGTCATGTACCGGCTCTGCGGGGCCTCCCAAACAAAAAAGTGCCCTTGGGGGTCACACACACACACTCACGCTAACAAGCACTCAGCCAGGCACGGAGACCAGCAAGCACGCACACACACAAACTTAGAAAACTCAGCAGAAAGCGGGAATCTCAGCAAGGCATTCATTCTAGTGGCAAAACTCAGAAATTGGTTGTGTTCTCAGTCCGTGTTTGGGCATGTCCTTACACTACCCCCCACTCAAGAGCGAGGTCCCTCCGAACAAGTAACTCAATCTGAGTCCCTGACAAACACATCATAAGCGAACTTAGTGAAGAGAGTCCATGTATACCCAGTAACAGTGAGTTTTGCTGAGAGTTTTGGAACAACATAGGAAACTATTTGTCATTCATATGCTTTGACGAAACGCGGTGTGCTGTGCAACAACTCTTTCTTTGAAATCTAGTAGAGATCGTTCATCGAGTGATACATAAAGGGTTGACACTCTGTTACGTCCCTTTCCAATATGTTGTACAATCCTATCTATCTCATGACCACCATTGATTGCACGAGGCATCATAGGCTCACAATAATCGGAAGACTTGGAATCAAGATACGAAAACTGTTTAGATGCGTAAAAGACTGGTTGTGTTATGACCCTGGCCAATTTCGAGATACACATCCACCGGAAAGTACAATGCCACCCAATTGCAGAAAGAAATGAATGAACTTGAGAGGAGAGAGAGAGGATTAGAAGAAGAAGAAGAAGTAAGAAAGAAGAAGAAGAAGATGAACACCAGCAAAGACAATGACAAGGCTCTTCTTCTTCGCCCAACAATCTCCTCCTTATCTCCCCCTTCTCTTATTCATACAAGAAATAATAATACAATGTTGAATGACTGATCCAGAATCAATGTCCGAGTCCCTCTTCTACTGCAAGTATCACTTAAGGTCCACCATAGCCATGGCCGCCTCTCCCACTCTTCACTCTCATAGGCCGAGGCTATGGCGGACTTCTGGGCTCTGCTGAGATGCCCAACGGACAACCCAAAGCAGCTATGGCTGCTCTAGCTCAGGCCGCCATGCCTGACCCTGCCCCGAAGCTTCTTGGTGTAGCTCTCCCCAGCTAGGGACTCCCTGCTGCAGCACCCACCAAGTGATGAAGATGGTTGCCACCATAGCCAAGTGAATACCCCTTGCGCTCCTCCCCCTTCCCCCTTCCTCCCTCATGTCCTTCTCCTTCCTCCCCAACAGCGCTGCTCCAGCCAGCGCTCCACCAGTGTGTCGCCAAACTTGCACACCGAAAAAGAGGCCGGACTCTCCGCCCGGCCAGACGATATAGCGGCCTGTTTTGCCTCTTGGGCGGTGACTTCCGGGCCGCTCGGCCTCCCAAGCAACCGGTGTCGCACTTTTTCTAGTTGGGCCTCGTCAGGCAACCTGAAAGCCAACAGGCTGTTTTGATAATGCTCGCAATAAATAAAATAAATTAAATAAAGCAAATCCCTTCCTGTTGTGTGCGTCCGGCTTCGAGCGAGACCCTTCAATTGTCGTCTTCGCCGGTCCCCGGTCTTAGGAATGTTTTATTTTGATTCGGAACAGCAGAGAATCATGCAAATAATAATCATAAAACTATGGTGTGTCATGCATGCATTTATTTGTCAATTTTCTAGTCTTGAGAATTGTAACAGGATCATCAGAGAATACAATCATCAAGCACGACAATGCAGGGAAGCAAGACTGACTGACTCGAGCAATGACAAAGTTAGACGAGGGAAGAATGAGAACTCATAATAGTCTTAGAAAGTACACATGGAGAAGAACACGACCAGCACCAATCAAAAGTCCTCACTCGTCCCTCTGAACCTCACGCTCAATCTCTCATTTGGCTGTCTGTTCCTTGTGCTTTCGACCATGTCTCCGTACTCTCTGAGGATGCGGTCTCTGTATGTAGAGCCACCTGAAGCCTGCAAGCTCTGAACACTTCCATCCAAGTCCCATGATGCGGAAATCAACCATAGCACAAAACTCCTC